CAATCATTGGATTATCTTCTTAAATTTGATTATCTTATTAAAAATATTTTAAAAATCTATTCAAAGATTTTCAATCATCTTCAAAGATCTATTGGGTTGCTTTCAAATATCCATCGTTACAAAATATCATAGAATGCCAAATTCTGATTGATCTTCTATATAGAAGTGATTACTATTTATATTATAAAGGAACGTATGCAGTGTTACATATTTTTAATAATTTTTATGTATTAATAATTTTGGTATATTGTTTCGACTTGAACACAATATGGGAACAGTGAATATTTTTTTCTTTATTGGCAACTTGATATGTACATAGTAACATATTTTTGATTTTGATTTGTCTTCTATAGTTGACATTGGCACGTATAGTAAACGTGTAACAGGAGTCTTCACAATAAAATTATATTATATTATATTATTAATTAAATATACTTGTGGATAATTATCAGTACGAACACCTTTTATGTGAAATAACAAATTTTCACAGATATTTAGTCATCACTTTGTAAGGAATTTCCTTTGCCTGTCGTTATGGTTCATTAGTGAAACATTTACTTGTACAAGTTGTTCTATGAATCACTTCTTAATGAGTGGCGCTTGTCTCTGTATTTAATATATATTAATGATGTTTCTCATAGATAAATTTTCAGTTTTAAAGTTCTTTCAGCGCCAATATTAGAGACATTATGAAATATTGATTGAATTACTGCCTGAAAATAAATTCAGATAATTTTCATTTCAAATTGCTTTTTTTTTTGTTACAAAGAAAAAAAATTATAAAGTTGTCAATACATTAATCTGCACTTTATCAATGTGCTATCAAACACATCAAAATATTGATTAAAAATAAAAGTTATTATTTTGTTTTTTATAGGTTTTCAGATATGTACAGAAAACAAATAGACACAACGAATAATTTTGTTTAAAATGAAACAATTTTTATAATTTTTTGGAAAACCAAGCAATAAATTTTTCTTAGTGATTATTATATTAATCATGTAGGTTACTAGTGAATCCATTGCATATAGTAAATAAGCAAATTCGTAAATATTAGCAAGATTTCAATAATATTCGACCAGGTGTCAAAGTGCACGTAAAAATGGTATATAATATTTGTAAATAATGAATTCATGAATTCCTCTTTGAATTGGAATGTACGAATATTAAATAATGTCAATATTTCCTCAACAATTGTGATTTTAGAAATTCTTTTGCCAGGATCCTTTCCCAAATCGCAAGCATTAAATATTATATTCTGTAGAAGATGGATTTAACATTGGCTGCTTTTGATCTTTGGCGAAGAATTTATAATTCACAAATGTCGAAATGTTAGGAATTCTAACGAGGGGACTCATAAATTGATAACTTAATTCCGATTTGTATTATGTTGAAATTTATAGCTTGTTTCGGCCAAACCTACCTCAACAATACGATTTGAAATCGACTATCAGCTTCCTGTTTATGGGAATTTTTTCTATATAAGGGCAATATCTAGCAATTGAGGATAGTTCCATACCATATTGGCTAAACGAGTTTATTATGATTTACGTGCTGAACCGGTTCGCTTGAAGGCATTCGCGAAATGCTGGAATTATATAATCTGTTATTGATATGGACTAGTGAACCTTTTTACATTGTTTTTTCGGCATTTTATTAGTACTGCACAATGAAT